AAAGAGGGTCTACTCTATTCTTGGAACCAGTGCAGCACAGACCCCATCACACTGGGGCATAGGAGGCCTCTAGCTGTCCAGAGAATCCTGCTGGTCCTGACACCCCTACCCTCCTCTCTCTGTTTTTAGGGCTATTTTTTCATCCCTTTTCCTTTATGCCTCTGGTAGTAAATGTAGAATTCAAGGTTAATTTGAGAAAAAATGAACAAAATAAAATTAATACATGGAAATCTTTAAAGCAGAACATTTTATCGTGACATTTCCTGAGGATACACTGTACAGCCCGTGTAGGCACACATAAACATGCACCAAACACAGCATCCAGGGCGAGGACCAAGCGCAGGAAATGCCACCATCTGTGTTACAGGGGGTGGAGGAGGCTATACATACATATTTATAAATATTTACTTTTATATGCATAAAATATCTCTGGTGACTTTAAAAACTGGGTGGCTGTAGTACAATAGGTGGGAAAGAGACTTTTTATCATATATCATTTTTGATTTTGAACATGTGACTATTCAAAAACTAAGATTTAACACATACCTGCACCTCTCTTATGCACTTAGCTGTGTGTTGATAGGATGGTGCTGACAGAACCAATCCTGGAACTCACAAAGCCGACATCTTTGTTTTTGTGGTTCTTAGAGCCTATTTTTTAATATCCTCAGAGTCTTAATTTTATCTTAGCATTCTCACAGAACCAGAGCCCCAGGACAGAACCTTATTTTAGTTTTGTCTGGCAACTGTTGAGTTTAAAACTTATAAATGCCTTAAGATTTTAAAAAAAAGTGAGTCCTCACAAAAATATCTCCTACTGACTTTCCTTCATAGTTTCTCACCTTCCTTAATGAAATAACATCAAATAACTGGACTGAAGAAAGCTAGGAAAGAAAGTGTTACCGCACAAAGCGCAAAATTTGCTCACTGTGAGACAAAAGCCAATCGTCAAGAGGCAAGATGGTGGCAGAGAGAAAGGGCAGTTTATTACAGCTTGCAAGCAAGGGGGAAGATGGCCGATTAATGTCTGAAAGAACCATCTTACAGAACAAAGACTACAGGCCAGTTATATAGAGGGTTGGTCTCCGGGTGGGGGAAGCATCTGGCCCCAGGGTGGGGGCATCCATCTGGTCTCAGTTCCTGGCAGTCTTTTGTTTTACTTGATATGCATCAGAGACCGGAGCAACGCCCTCTACCCTGATCTTTCAGTTGTGTCACTGATGATGGCTATCAGCATAGACTCTCTGCCTGGGAGTCATCACATTCCTAAGGAACTCAAGAGAACAAAATTATCAACTTCTAGCAGCCGGGAGGGGCCATAAAATCTACAGAGCATGTCTGGGTTAGTTAGTCAGAGGTCATTCAAAGTTACAGTATGGTTTCTCCTCTACAACATGGCTTCCCTCACGTCAACCTTGTGTTGAGCTGGTATCCTTGGCATGGTATTCTTTTTTTTTTTTCTGAGGAAGATTCACTCTGAGCTAACATCCATTGCCAATCTTCCTCTTTTTTGCTGAGGAAGATTTGCCCTGAGTTAACATCCATGGCCAGTCTTCCTCTATTTTGTATGTGGGCTGCTGCCACACGGCCGCTAAGGCATGGTGTAGATCAGCTCCCAGGAACTGACCACGGGCTGCCAAAGTGGAGCGTGCTGAACTTAACCACTAGGCCACCGGGGCTGGCCCTATAGTATTCTTTATTTTCATCAAGAAAAACCTTATGCTCAAATATCTAAAAGTTCCTAAATTACAACGACCAAATTTCATGCAATTAATTTAAAACAAACATCAGCCCCAGAACCTACCCGACTTGCTAGAACTTCACTCTAATGGCTTTAATCTCACATAATAACGCAGTCCTTCTCTTATTTCAGAAAGTAGATGACTCTGAAGGAAATCTAAATCAGAGGACTTTTTCTTTTAGCTGAATTCCACTCTGTAGCAAATTTTCTTGTGAAGCTCTGCCAGGGCATTGCTATTTTGCTTTTTCTTTAACCCTCCATATTCTAAATTCTCATACTGACTTTTGAGCCAATTTCCTCAGAAAAAATCCATACATAATGGAGGGGGAAGTCTGGCAGTGATGGGAGGGAAACAGAGAGTGGTAGGTACCACAGGATCAAGGGAAGATTTTTTTCCCCTTTTTTCAGAGTGGCTTTTGTCCCTGGTTCCTGGAAGGGAGACTCTAAATCCTTGGAATTTCCTCAGTAATAGGAGTGCCTTTGTTATGCTAATGAGGCGACCCATTGTCCCACTCAGATAGTTTCAGGATGGGGACTGGCCATGTGATCAGAGAGTTGGGGCTTTGAGCCACATGATATCAGCCTGACCCCCAACCTCCAGTGGGACAGGGGGACTGGAGATTGAGTTCAACCACATGGCCAATAATTCAATCAATCATGCCTGTGTGATAAATCCCAATAAAAACTCTAGATACTGAAGCTCAGTGGACCTTTCCTGGTTCGTGAAGACACTGATGTGCCAGGAGGGGAATGCACACTGATTCCATGAGGAGAGGGTGTAACTGCGGGCCCTCCAGGACCAGTTCCACTGACCCCATCTTATCAACAGAGTGATTAAGAATTGCCTTTCAGAAAATTTGTGAAGTCACACAGCCAGAGCATGCACAGAAGAAGAAATCTTGACCTGAAATGACCTCAGAACCAAAGACTTTTCCCCCCAGGGAACCAAAGGACCAGGACATGACCAGAACTTAAAAATCAGACTCTTATCAGAAGTGAGAAGTCCATCATTCCTGAAGAATTTTCTGTTAAAATTCCTTCCCCACCTTACCATAAATGTTTAGAACCCCATCATAAATGTTTAGAACTTTAACATAAATATTTAGAATCTTACCATAAATGCTTGAAGCCCATCAATCAAAACCTGTCCCACCAGCATTTGATGTGCCAGCCTGTTCTCCCCAACCTCTTAAATTTCACCCGGAATCCTGATTCGGGGAGACAGATCTGAGGGCACATGCCCCGTCTCCCTGCAGATCGATCTCACAGAATAAAGCTGATCTCTTTTCCCAAAGGCTGATGCTGTAATTAATTGTCTTGTTTATGCACATCGAGCAAGAGAACCCCAATTTTGTGCAGTAACAAGGGCACAAAAGCTGTGCATTTCCTCCCAGACCTTGCCCTGTGTGTTTCTTCATTTGGCTGGTCCTCCTGATTTATATCCTTTACAATAAAACTGTAATTATACCCTGAGTGCTAAGTCATTCCAGTGAATTACCAATTCAGGGCGGTCATGCAAAGCCTGGATTTACAGCCAGTTGGTCAGAATTGTGGGTGGCCTAGTGACCCCCACAGGGTGGCTGATGTCTGGAGTAAAAGCAGTCTTGTTGGGGACCATGCTCTTCAACTCAGTTTTAACTCTGGGTGGTTAGTGCCAGAACTGAATTGCCATACACTGAGGTGTAGTTGAAACAAAATTTGGAGAAATGAGGCCATTGCTGGAAAGGGATGTGGGTTCAAGAAGCCGCATTGTGTTTGGGGCAAGGGATACAATAGCGAATAATACAATAGTGAATCTCTGATTTCAGCCAGGTTACCATCTGATGGTAGAACAAAATCTAGAAAGGATATAAGGACACTGATAAATTTAGAGGGAAATTGACAGTCTCCATTTTTCTCAGTGAAACAAGGATTAGGTCTGAAAACAAAAAGCATTGAGATGGGGTTGGGGGCTTGAGTTGAAATTGTAGAGTTGTGGAACAGCCGCTTTTGTGAACAGAGAAAGGGGGCAACGATAGATATGTTTCTCACACTTGTGTTCTATGAAACACTGTTTCATGAGTTGTTAACATCTATCCCTCAAGAGAAAATGTTTCCTGTTCAAATAAATTGGGAAATGAAGGATTAAAAAAAGTTAAAGAGAATTATTTATTGCAGGATTTCATGAAGACGTCAATATGTTAACATGTATTATTAATCTCCTAAAAAGGGATACAAGTAGACAAATTTCTCAGAGCACAGAATACTTTCTTCATGCCACTTACTAACATTTCAGAACACCAGGTTGAGAAACATCAAATTATAGAAAAGGAAAAACGTTGCCAAGCAGCATTATGGGCCCAGAGAAATTCATCACTTGGCTATAGAGATAATCAGGAAGGGCATGTTACTATACTAGAGTGTAGCTGACTGGAAAAGACACACAGCTGGATTTATCAGGGGCTGTCTAGACTGGCAAGTCAAAAGAGACAAGGAGATGAAAATATTACATTTCAGGCAGCTAGGTTGATACAATGGTTTAAAATATATATTTGCAACATAATCTTCTCTTCAAATAAATTATAGACAATTTCAGTGTACACATTAGAAGACAACAGAGCTTTTTTGATTGAAGGTAGGATTGGCATTGGGGAGAAATGAATAAATAAATAAATAAAAGAAATCCTCTTTAGATCTCACCAACAAGCCTTCTAAGTTCGAAACTGGAAATTGTTTCTCCAGAAAACAATGACAGGGTTTACGATATTATTGGCATATTACTACAGTTTGGTTTCATAAAAGACTATTGTGGAGCTGGCTTTCTAATATTATTTCTATGGGAAAAGGTGTCTTGAAGTTCTAAAAATTAGACTTAAAAATTCAGAAGAATATATAAAAATTTCACTAAATTGCAGAAGAAAAAATAAAAGGTCCTTGCCTGTAATGCTGTAGTCACTTTCTGAGAAGCTCTAATCCGAGGGAGGGCCCAATCACTCATGAGGCTTTCTCACGACACTCCCTAGCCCCTGCCACGCCACACACCATGTTACCCCCATTTGTAAGATTCTGTTACGTCCCCAGCCTCGTCAGAATGGGGAGAGCAGGTCCCCTTTCACCTCAGTCTTCCTTTTTGACAGTGATCACCATGTGGGCAGGGCGCAATCGCGTCCTGGTCACTGATGAAGCTCAGTGCTGGGCACAGAGCAGGGACAGGTGGACAGATGTATGGATATACGGACGGGTGGATGGAAAGACGGACGGATGAACAGAGGAGTCCATACGAAATGAGCCTTTACTGGGGTGAGTGGAGGGTGTCACGAGTACAGGCCCTGGACAGTGTGCACGGAGCTCTTCCAGCTGTCCTTCCAGCGCTGAGCCTCCTTCACCTGCGACGTGTGGTCGTCCTGGATCTTCTTCAGCTCCTCTTCAAATAACGCTAAATATTTCTGGGAGCAAGGCAGCAGGAGGAGGCCCCATGAGGAGGGATTTCTGGACTCTGTGCCCTGGAGGAATGCTGTAACCTGCTGGCAGGTAGCCTTTAATCTACTGCAGGCCCGGGCAAGAGTTCCACAAGTCATTTCTCATGGAATTTGCCCAAGAACTGATCAGGCAGGTCCGATTGTTTGCTTATTTTATAGATGGAGAAACTGAGGCTCAGAGCCTTGCCTGGGGTCACCCAGCTAGAAAGAGGCTGAGCAGGGACTAGGACCCTGGTCTACCGGACTCTGGACTCTGCACTCCTCCCTAATCACCGTCCCACATTGCGGGCTCGCGGAGCTCAGAGCTCCTGGCTTGCTTGGAGGCTGAGCCCTCCAGGCCTCGAGCCCACACTGAACTCAGCAGGCAGAGCCGCCCCCTCTGCCTGGGGCTTGGCATGGTGGCCGGGGAAGGGCCGGCCCTGGGCACTGTGGGCTCTCCTGATACCGCGGTCAGCCTACCTCTGGGCAGGACAAGGTTTCTCTCTGGGCACCAGGACCAAAGGTCCACATATCTTCAGAGCTGCGAGGTCCCACAGGCGGCACCTGGGTGCAGCCTTCTCTTCAGGCGGGCCCCATGGGGGTCTAACAGGCACCGGGTTCAAATCTTGGCTCTGCCACTCTGTAGTGGCATAGAGGAGGGCACATTTCTTTAAACCTCAGCGTCCTCATCAGTGACACGGGGACAACTCTATCTTCCCCATGGGGTTGTCAGGAGGATTCAGTGGGATGCCTCATGTTGAGAAGAGAAGCAGCAGCAGGCGCTCGTAACTGTCAACTGTCCCACCGACTGCTCCCATGGCCTCCGCCCTCTGACCACTCTGTCCCCTCACTCTGACTCAGCTCTTCCTCCAGAAAGCCTACCTGCACCCCCAGCCTCAGTGGGGTGTCCCTCAGGTGGGTTCCCCCAGCTCTAGGGCTCACGCCATCAGCCCCACGCTATCACTGGGACTGGACGTGACCCTCGGCTCACGTCCTTGTGCCCGAGAACACTGACTGTCCTGAGTGTGACACTGCGCCCTGGGGCACCCTGACGTGTGTCGTCTGCTCCATGGGCCAAACATCAGGGCACCCTGTGATGGGAAGTCCCCTCCTCCCCAAGGCAGCCAAACCGAGCGGCCCTGCGCTCCCCGGAACGCACCCACCCTGCCTGTCTCTCCACTCACCAGGTAGATAGCGTCTCGGGCTTCCACGGCCGCCTGGTGGCCCAGGGTGGTTCTGATGGTGGTGACCGATGACGTTTTCTGGAGGAGAATCTTGTTTTGGATGGTGACTTTGGTGGGTGTGATTCCTGGCCACTTCCTATAAATGAACATGTGTGTAAAAGTCCTGCAGGCTTGTCCCCATCATTCACAGTCACCCTCCAAGCCTGGTGGCAAAGCTCAGCATTTCTTTAAAAAAACAGGTCACGCTTTAAGCGTCTTCATTAAAGAGAAACCCTGGTGAGCTTTAGCGTTAAGCTTCTTCAGGTTCCTTTTCGCGTGTTCACACCGTTCAAACCCACGCGCATACACGGTCTCGGGCTCTGCGTGGGGAGGGGAGGCCACAGCTCTGGTCGCTTCCCTCCTCTGGCCTCAGTTTCCTCATCGGTCGGCCAGTCAGGCGGCAGTCACCGGTCCTGGCCCGTTTTTCCTGCTGTGCCATAAAGCCACGGCTGAGAACTCAGCCAGGGCAAATCCCAGCCTTGCTGCTTCTCCCAGTCACACTTGGGGCACAGGGGACAGGCACTTTGATGGCTCTCCTTACACGTGACGGACGCTGGTGGTCCACAGTGCCACCGGCGACCTGAGAACGTGCCCCCCTTTCTTTGTGGGCCCCTTCATGAGTCCTCAGCACGTGCACTGATGCCTGCTGAGTTCTTAGTTTGTGCCAGGGCCACGCCAAGTACAGTGTCATCTAACTTTCTCTTCATAACACCGTGGAAGGTAAGCAGCCATGCCCATTTCACAGATGAGGAAACTGAGGCTTAGAACATCATGCCTTTCCAAGGTTCACCGGTCTGTCTGACTTCACAGTTCGTGGCCCCTAACCATTGCACTGCACAGCCCCCAAGCAAATACAGCCATTCACGGTCTTCCTCGCTGCTCC